CAATCCTAACGCCACGCGTCTCCTCATAGAGCCCAGCCTCTCGGATAATCTGCTCTGCATACAGGTTGAAAAGGTATGGAGATAGGACACATCCCTGGCGCACACCCCAATTTTGAACCATTCAGTGTTGGGCATGTTAGGAGAGACTATTCCTTAGAGAGTGACATCATGCTAGGAAAGGGAGGGGGGACAGCGAAAGAGAGGAAGATCCTTAATCAGATGGATCGACACATTGACTGCAGCGATGAGCTAGACTATGTCAGAGATTGTAGGATTGCACAGAGTGGGACAGGGTTCGGATCTGTTGTTCATAAGGTCGCTATGGGTTGTACTCCACTCGATGGCACCTAACAACAACAATCATGGGGAAACAGAGTCCACACTTAGAGCTACGAAGTGGTGGCGCAGGATCGAGTAGGGGTCCAGTATGATGGCAGCGCACCCTGGTCGCCCCTTCCCGCATGATCCTGCCCCTTCGTCCTGAACTGGGGTTCGAGCAAGACGAAGAGCGCCTGAGCCCACAGCAAGGCGCCTGCAGGCGTGGGCAGCCCCAGCCTCGGAGCTGCTGTTCCACCTACGTCTGGACGCGAAGGTCTGGGGACACTCGAGGGGGACAAAGGCCAGTGAGGCCCCACCTCCGGGTATCGCGCGTGAGGTCAAGCAAGACTCGCCGGGCGGGTTCTAACCAGGGAGTTGATTGGCTGAGTGAAGAACCAATTACGCGGCTGATTGAAGGCACCTGGCACCGCCCACTAATTAGGTATAGTTGGTTTCCCATTGGCTGGATCCGAAGGGAACCCTTGGGAACTGTTGATTGGCTGTGCAAAATCCAGAGTCGTCTGCCGATTGGGTGAAGTAAAATCGCCCTCTTTTAATTGGTTGGCGGGCGCCACTCTAGTCCCATACTGAAGGCGGGAGGGCTCAGGTTAACCCTTAAGGGTGGTGTGCTGGGACACCGGTGTTCGCGGGCCGGTTCTGGAGCGCAGCCTGGTCATCGAGGCGCCTGAGTCTCAGCGCAGCTTCTCCTCTGATGCCAACAGCCGAGGCCTGTGCATTCCTCCAGAACGGTGGCCGCAGTCCGGCTCCCCCGCTCATCCCAGCCCGCTGAGCTCCCGCGAGTGCTGACCTCGGCCGAGCCACTAGCCCTGCCAAAGCGGAGGGTCCTGGGTCTCAGTTTCCCCACTTGTATCAAAGAGCCTCTCTCCCAGCCACGCCCCTCCCCACCATGGTCAGTGGTCTTAGGCCTCAGTTTCCCCAATGGCCCGGGAGGACGGAGTCCCCAGCCTCCCCCCAACTCCAAGGATGGGCTGCGGGGAGCCTTAGTTTCCCCGCCAGCGCTCGCCTCCGGCTGGTGGCCAATAACGCCGCGCCCCCCACCCGCCTGGGGGCGGAGCCGCGTCACGTGCCGGGAAGAAAGGCCGGCGGCGCGGGGCT